ATTGTAAATTTTGCAATAGTAATACCAAAAAAAAAAAAAAAAAGAAAACTTGTCCAAAATCATTAAGATTCATTTTGCTCTAAATGTTCCTGATTTTGGAATGTATTCAGTGCAAGAAGGGACCCATGTATGTACCTTTAAGTGAAATAGAAATTGCCTCTAGGTTAGTAGTGTTAATTTTTCTAAAAAGATTTTCTTTGTCTTAACTATATAGCACATGTCAGATGGCAGGAGATGTATGAGACTAGGAATAGCTCCTTAAATAGCAGCTGATAACTGTTCCATTAACATCAGGCACCCACTGTTTTTTAAGTCTTTATGAGGAAGGGCAGGATCTTTGAAGCACAGGAAATTTAATATCATATGTCTTTTTAGTATTTTTTGGACCTCTTTTTTATAGTTCCATTAGTAACTTGGGCTGTTGATAGTGACCTGAGATATCATTAAAGTAAGGCTGTACTGTATGCCAGTGCTCTTTGAAGAAATTTTCACAATAGCCAAAAGGTGAAAACAACCTAAATTATCTATTAGCAGATGAATGGACAAACAAAAGGTGGCATAAAAATACAGTGAAATATTACTCAGCCATGAAGAGAAATCCTGATGCTTGCCACAACATGGATGAACTTAGAAAATACCATGCTGAGGAAAATAAGTCAATTGCAAAAGAACAAATAGTGTATGATCTCACTCATTAGAAATAAGCAAATATATGGAAACCAAAGATTATTGCTACCAGGGATAGGAGAAGGGGGAATGTGCTTTGAGGGCATTGAGTTTATGTTAGTGGTGGGATAGTTTGAAAATTTTTTTTTTTTTTTTATTGTGGTGTGGGTGAAAGTTTACAGAGCAAACTGGTTTTCCATTCAATAATCCATATATATTCTGTTATTTTGACATTTCCTGCCATCGCCATACTATAACAGCATTCTTCTTTTTCTTCCCTGTACCTATCCTTTACCTTCGTCTTTACTTCCTATCCCTTCCCGCCTTCCTAGCTTAATCCCTGGGCAAATGCTGTCCTCTGGATTGCATATGCTTGATTGTTCTAATGAGTGCATATCCTTCTGATCCACCCCGTTTTTTTGTACAGCCTGCAAGCTAACATTTTTAAATGATTGTTGGGGACAGCAAAAGAAGAGTAATTTCATGACTTATGAAATTTAAATTTCAGTGCCCATAAATGAAGTTTTATTGGAACACAGCTGGTCTCATTTGTTTATGTACGTATGGCTGGCTTTTTTGCTACAAGGCTAAGTTGAATAGTTGTGACAGAGACCATATGGCCCTCAAAGTCGAAAATATTTACTATCTGTTCTTTAATAAAAAGTTGAACAAACAGCTGATTTAAGTGAAACAATAGGGACTGTTGGAGAATAGAACAGGAGGGCAGCACCTTGGAACAGCCACACTGGGTAGCTAGTTTGAGATGAGCAGCAACAAAAGAGGTCATGTGAAATCCAGAGCCCCTTGGACCTCCAGGCCTGTCAGTGGGCTTGACAGGGTTAACCCCCCTCCTTGCAATGTTTTTCCTCACTTGGCTTCTAGGATTCTACTTTCTCCTGGTTTCCCCCTGCCTTTCTGGCCTCCCTGCCTCATCTCTTGCTGGTTCTTCATCTCTGAAAGCTCCACATCAGTGGCCCCACAGCTCAGTCCTTGCACCTCTTCTTTTTTCTGTTAGTACTTGCTCCCTAGGTGACCTTACCCAGATACAAAGCTTTAAATACCTTCTCTATGATGATGACTTCCAATCATATCTTACACACATACTTTTTCCTTGAGTTCTAGGCCCATACAGCCAACTGAACACATCCAGGTCTCAAATTTAACCAGATCCAGCAAAGAATGAAGAAAATGAAAGATTCATGGAAAACAATCCCAGTGACTGGTACACCATGTGATCCTCAGCCCACACGACTATGAGACCGGAAGAACTAGATGGTGCCTGGCTACCACTGTCAACCACTCGGAGGGGGATCTATGTAAGACATCCTGGATAGAGTGGTAGAACAATGTGGAACAATACTCAAAATCACTTGAAAAAAAGAAAAAGGGACTAGGTTTGCTGGTCTCTTAGAGCCTGATGACAGACTATGGCCCCTAGGTGCCCTTCAGATCTGGAATTGAACCCATACCAGTGGCTTCCAGCCAAACAAAAGACAGGCATATGAGGTGAACATTTACACTAGCTAGATACACTGCTTGGAGAGAACAATCATGGGAGAATAGAAGGGCTGTGTATGCACAGGGACACAGCTCAGGAGGCAGGAGTGCATGGAGGGAAGGACACAGGGAAGAGGTAATTATAGGAAGGAAGTGGGAGGGGAGCTGTTGCATTGTGGCAAATTATAGTCAATGTCATGAGACAAAGCATATGTGAACTAATGTAGGGAAAGTGAATTTGCTCTGTAAACTTTCACCCAAATCACAATTTAAAAATAATTAAATAAACCCAAAACTTAACCAGATCCAAGCCTGAGCTCCCCTGTATCACTCCTCCCAAGCCAGCTGCTCCTGCAGTCTTCTCATCTCTGATCGTCCCAATTGCTCAGGCCAAAAACCTTGTTGCCACCCTTGTCTCCTCTCTTTTCCTCATACCACACCAAATCCATCAGCCCTACCTGTCAGCTCCATCTCCAGCCCACCCACAGTGTGACTATTTCTCCCGTCCTTCAGGGCACCACATTGGTCCACTCCATCATGATGACCCACCAGGATTATTACAGTGCCTCCTTACTGGTTTCTGTGTTTCTGCCCTTGTGTCCTCTATAGCCTGCTCTCATCCCAGCAGCCAGAGTTTGTTAAAACATAAACAGACCATGTCAAGCTTCTGCTCAGAACTCTCAAATCACATAGAAGCCCAACATAATCTGGCCCCTGCCACTTCTCTAGCATCACCCCTGTAACTCAGGCCTGTAACAGGCCTCCTGGCTGTTCTCTAAACATGGCAAACACACCGTTGCACCTGCTGTTCCCTGTACCTGAAAAAATGTCCTGCCCCCAGGTATCCACGTAGCTCACACTCTCACTTCCTTTATGTCTTCCATCAAAAGATACTTTCTCAGTGAGGTTGGTTTCTGAGGTGCAGAGTAGTAGTTACTACAGTTTTAAAATTATTTTAGCACCCAAGATCTCCCAATTATACTACGACATATGTCTATTTTAATTTTGTAATGATAAGACCCCCTCTCCCCTCCTGTTCCATCCCTGTGCTGTAAATCCTCCTTGATAAAATATTAGATACCCTGACAGAATACTCAAAGAAGAAGAAAACATTGCTATACTAACTACAGGTGGGTGCATCTGCAGAAGGATTTAGGGGGATGGAACAAAAGAATTTGGGGGGATTTGGACAGAAGCCAATAGTGCTCATTATAAGCCTTTTGGGACTACTTGATTTCAAACACATAGTATTTTTGTTAAAAAGGAAAAAAAAAAAAAAAGTGGTGTGGGTAGCTCCTGATATTCCAGAAGAAATGATGGCATCCTCAGAGATTGTAACTATACTCTGTGCATCCGGGCTGGGGCATCTGGGATTCTCTTTGATGTCTTCTGCCCTTGATAGGACATATATGCCTGCACATTCCCTTGTTCTGAGGTGTTTCTAAACCAAAATGAAAGATGCACTAGTGTTCAGGCCCTTGCTAAGGCAGTGTGCCAGGAGGAAGCTGTGCGCACCATCTCCAAGATGCAGGAGGTCATGCTGTGCTGCACTCCATCTGCCAGTAGCCTCTCCTCATGAGCAGCACCGGCTGTGCGTGTGTGTGTGTGTGTGTGTGTGTGTGTGTGTGTCATTTGCCAGATTGGCATTTGGTGCATTGCAGTGTTTTGCCACCTTTGGCTGAATAACCCCTTATTCATCTTGGACTCCTGGAATTCTTTTTATTTAGGAAATGATTTTGTTTTCTACTAGGCTACATTAGAAAAAAAATGCAGACACACAACACTGCATGTGAGTGTTAAGTATTTCACAGGATCTTATATCAGACAAGGAGCCCTGATGGTGCTGTGGTTAAAGCACTTGGCTGCTAACCAAAAGGTCAGCAGTCCATGGGAGAAGGAGGCAGCAGTCTGCTTCTGTAAAGATTTACACAGCCTTGGAAACCCTATGGGGCAGTTCTTGGTCCTACAGGGTTGGTATGCATTGGGATCGACTTGATGGCTGTGGGTTTTGGTGTTAACATGGCACTACACTGCTTGTGCTCCTCATAAGAACCCAAAGAGATGGACATCCCCATTTTACTGATGAACTTTGAGAAGGAGGTAACTTGCCCAAAGTCATGCAGCTAATCAGTAACAGATGAAGAGCCCCATCTTATGGAAAAGAAATGAGACAGATCCTGGGGGCACAGGGACCTGTCTGGACCAGCCCAGATGTTCTGATTCCCAATACAGAGTTGTTTTCATTGTCTAAGCTTTTTCCTCAACTCTGAAAAATGACCCTTGGCTCTCCAGAAAGTAGTGTCTTACGATTACTTTTGAAATAGTTCTTTAAGACTGTCTAGTCTTTCCAGCTTGATGGGGCAGGGGTCTTTACCTTATCTCTTTCTCTTTATGTCTTGCACACTTCAAAAGGTTTGCTTTGCATTTTATTTTTCCTACCCTGCATTCAAAACGCCAACAAATCCTAGTACCATCTTTCAAAATTTACTTTAAAGGATGGATTTGAAACCAACCTCTTCCCCATCGGCCCAAAGGAAGCTGAGTACAATTAAACTTGATTTCAGGTGAATATTTAATTATTTCAAACTCAAATATATTTTTTCAAGGACAGTATCACCATCATTGTCACAAGCATGTTAATATGTCTCTTTTGTGAGAAAGTATATGCTACAAGTCATGCTATTCATTAAATTAAAGATATTTTCAATTGAGTCAAATATTTAATGAACAATAAATTCTACTCTCTGCCTCTGGGTGAATAAATGGTGCCTTTCAGTGCAGTGGTAGAAAATAATGTGAGGGCTACTTCTTAAAAGTGCCCTTCGCTCCAATGACCATTAGCCCCTTCGGTTACCACTAAACTTCTCAGCAATTTTCTGTAGCTCCATATCCATCGCAGCCAAGTTTTCAAGTTCTCTTTCCTGGAAAATACAGAAAAGTGGAGGCATGATGTCCTGAATCAATCTATTTTGCTATAGAGGAAGTATGAATAGAAAGGGGAATTTTTGGTCAGCATCACCACGAAACTTGTTAGAAATGCAGATGCTTGGGCCCAACCCATGACCAACTGAATCAGAAACTCTGGGGTTCAGGAATCTGTATGTTAACAATCCCTTGTGAGTCTGATGCACATTCAAGTTTGAGAAGCACTGACCTACACAATCAATAATAGGAAGGAAAAAAAAAAAAAAAAAGGCAAGTACAGCTCTGATCATGCTACATTTCCCAGATTTAAATTTCTGACTGTTCTAGAGTGCCTTTCCTCCAACCTTTTAAGAGCCAATAAAGACACAACCCAAAACCCAACCCAACCCAACCCATTGCCATCAAGTCAATTCTGATTCATGGAGACCCTAGAGGACAGAGTAGAACTGCCCCCATAGAGTTTCCAAGGCTATAAATCTTTACAGAGTGAGACTGCCACATCTTTCTCCTGCAGAGCAGTTGGTGGGTTCAAGCCTCTGACCTTTTCTGTTAACAGTCAACTGCTGTGAACCATTCAGTGCCACCAGGACTTCTTAAAGACAGCACAAAACAACTAATTTCTGTATCACCTGTTCTCCTAACCTAGCAGATATTATTCAACAGTCACATGACCATAGAGAAACCACCAGAACAGTGGTTGTCAACCTTGGGTAAACATTGGGATCACCCGGAAGCTTTAAAAATCCTGATGGCCAGGCAGCACCCAGTCCCAATTAAGACAGAATCTCCAGGGCTGGGTCCCAGGCACTAGTTTTGTCATTGTGGTTGCTGGTTGGTCGATTCAAGCTCCCCAGGTGATTCCAATGTGCAGCTAGGATTGCAAACCACTGCAAGAGGGGGTGGTGGGCAGGTGTGGAGACAATGGCTGGAAATCAATCCCAGAGGTTGTATTTACTCTTAGGGGTACCTTCTCAGGGTGATTTTTAAATTCTTCTCACTAATTTCCCTATTAATATCCTCAGACATCAATCATTTAAAGTTAATTGGAAAAAAAAAAAAAAAAAACAGCCAAAAATTGTACCTCTTCTTCTGTCAGAACTCTCTGGTCCATCCTGTCCTGTTCATTTCCTGCTGCTTGATGTGTGCTTAGCTGCTCCTCAGAGTCATAGAAGTCTGGAAATTCAGCTGCCTTCTTCCTGTAGTGTAGGAGCTGGTCTAGTTCAGCTACTCTGTCATACTGCCTTTTCAGATCCAGCTTGGGTGGCCTGGCAATGTTTCTCTTGTCATATCCCCAGTTCACATCATCCGCAAAAGGCTTTTTCTCCCACCAATCATAGTTGTATTCTGGGAAGAAATTTTTCTCATTCAAGGTCAGCCCGTTTTCCTCTTCACCCTCAAGAAAATCGTCATCTATGTTGTCCTTTCTCTCAAAATGCCTGCTCTTCCACTGGGTAGGGTCATAGTACACATTGAACATCTCCCCTAATTGCTTTCTCTTTTCAGCAGTGTGATGGGGAGCATATTGTTTGTCTTGAAGCCTAGCATCTTCCCTGCTCTCTTTGGTGTCTTTCAGGTCCTCCTGCTGCTGCCACTTGCCTTGAACTTCTTCTTCACCATTCCCCTCACCATAGTTGAGGTAATTTCTGTCTTGCTCTTTCCACTCAGCCTGTGGATGTCTCTTTGCTTTGTCATCCTGGCTTTCTTGAACATGGTGGTATTCTTCTCCCAAGAACCTTTTCTCTTCTCTGGTGTTAGTAGCAGAATATGCACTGGGGTCCTCGTCCCTGCCTTGATGATGCAGTCCCTTTTCCCCTTCATAACCCCTTACTTCCTCACTGCCATCCCTATATCCGTGTGCCATCTCCTCAAGCTCAGAGCTGGGGTGATTTCTCTTGTCCACCTCCTCCTGGCTGTCCTTACTTTGAGGTCTTGGTGCTCGGTACTCCTCACTTCCTCTGCCTTCATATTGTTCCCCCTCCACATTCTCAAGAGCCTGGCCACCTGGGTGATTCCTCACTTCTCCATATTTGGGTTCTACCTCTGAAGCCCTGTAGTGGGTTGAATGGTGGGCCCTCTTCTCCCCTAAACTGGCCATGCCCACGTTTGACTCCTCAGATCTCTCAAGGGAGTGTCTCCTTTCCTCAGAAGAAGGCTTTCCTTTTTGAGAGGACCTGTCGGGCCTGCTCCTCCCATGGTGGTGTTTTGGTCGTCGTTTGGCCACTTCAAAAGTGTCTTCCTCACTTTCCTCAGATTCTTCCTGGCTCTCAGATTGGCTTTTAGACTCTTGGGAGTATTTCTCTTGGGTCTTTCCCCCCTCCTCTCCACTCTCCTGACTGCTCCTTTCCCTGCTGTGTGTCTCCTCCCGGCTGTGTGTCTCTTTCTCAGGGTGCCTTACAGAGGGTTTGTCATATCTAGCCACTAACTCCTCTTTATTTTTAAATGTAGCTTGGTTTCTTTTGTTCGGGAAGATGCTTTGTGTCTCTTCTGACTCTCTCATGTGTTTCTCTTCACTGGCATCTCCCCCTCGCTCCCTTTTCTGGTATTTTTCTCCTTCCTCCTCCTTGTCTCCTTCTTCACTCTTCTTATAATGGTGTGTCTTTGGTTCTTGGGAGGCTTGACTGTCAGAGGGATAAAGGCTCCCTTGGATCTCGCCGGCTTCCGCTCTGCTGTGCCCACCTCCCTGTGCCCCTTTCTCTTGATCTTCCTTTGTTGGGTCTTCCTCCCCTGGGGCTCCTGCTTCCTCCCTACTGGAGGGCGTGTGGGTTTCTAAGGCATCAGATGAGTCTCTTAACAATCTTACTTCAAACTTTTTGTTTTCATTTTCACTTTTCTCTTCATCTTTGACCTCTTTTCCACCTATAATGAAAATACAAAAGAGTAAATATAACTTCAGAATTGCTTGTTGTTCAATAAGTACCAACCTAGGTAATCACCACAAATCCTAAGGATACTAAATATTGCTTGAATACTTTTTTAAATTGATAAAGAATATACTCAGATTCCTTTGAGAAGCGAATGGTATAAAAGCTTCTTGGCTGTGTTTAAACCTAATAATAATCTCTCCATATTTCCATGTTTTCATAATACCTAACTATGAGTTGGAATTGATTCAATAGGAGGTATTTTTTTTTTTTTTTTTTTTTTTTTTAACTAATTCAGAGGTGGATTATTACACCTCTGAATTAGTTGAAAAAATATTACAATTTAGAAGCAGAAGAAATCTTAGAATAATACATCCAGTTCAAACTTCTCTTTTTGCAGATGAGGACTTTGAGGTTCAAAGAGGTGTAATTCTGGATCATTCTTTCCATACTTAGTCTAAGTAGCAGGTGAAAAGTTAGCTTGTGTTACTGGCTGTAAATATCAGGATTCAATGTGGATTTTGTAAATTTTAAATTAATATCTTATCAGTGTTTTATTATCTAATTGTGTAGGATCAATCTAGTAGTAAGTGACAATGGCACTTAGAAAATGCCCATAAGAAGGGTGTAAGTTTCTTCTCTGAGAAAATGACATAGCAGTAGGAAGGACTATTTCTTCATTTAGATCTTATTCACCCAACATGTTCTCAGATGTTGAGGAAAAAAGATGAACTTCAGTATTCTGAGGTATCTATGTGCTTCGTGAGTCAAAAGAAAATGTTATAACCAATATTATAATTAAATTTTTCTCCCCCACCTTTTCCAAAGGCCAATAGCTCCTTTATTAAGTCTTCCTTAGCTCAAGGTGACCAAGAAAGGAGATATGCAGCTAACACTTTCTGAGTTGTTAATTGGGACGCCTTGAATATCCACCTATGTCACTGTGTTCAAATAGAAAGCCTGACACTCAGCCCATTCTGGGTCTGCATCTGTGCTGCCCAGTAACAGAGTTAGCAGCCCTTTATGGTGATTGAGCACTTGAAATCAGCCTGGTCTAACTGAGATATGCTATCAATGTAAAATATACACCAGATTTCAAAGATTTTATATGTAAAAAATAATTTTAAATGTCTCAATAATTATTGTATCAATTACATGTTGAAATAATATTTTGTATATATTGGGCTAAATAAAATATATTAAAATTTTTTTCACCTGTTTCATCTTTTTAATGTGGTTACTAGAAAATATGAAATTATATTTGTGGCTCACATAATATTTCTTTCTTTTTTTTTTTTGCTTGGTGGGGCTTTTATTTTGTAATTTTTATTGTGATTTGGGTGACAGTTTACAGAGCAAATTCATTTTCCATACAGCAGTTCAGACACATTTTGTTTCATGACATTGACTGCAATTCCCCACAGTGTAACAGCTCTCTTCCCACTTCCTCCTTGTATTTATCTCTTCCCTTTGTCCTTCTTTCCTATGCATTCCTGCCCCTTGTACAAATACTGCCCTTCTAATCTTAGAAGGAGGTTTGGGCAATCTACTTTCATAGTGATACTGCCTCGGAAACCCAAGGAGGGAGTCACTATGAGTTGGGTGCAACTCGATGGTATATAACAACATAACAGCAATCTACCATGGTTGATTGTTCTAAGGAGTGCACCTATCCAGTAAGTCTGTCTATTGTATAGCTGGTAGCCATGGGAGTGAGTTTAATTCCAGACCGACCTGAAGGGTAACTAGGGGCCATAGTCTTAGGGGTCTCATCAGGCTCTATCAGACTAGTAAACCCAGTCTTTTTCATGATTTTGAGTTTTGTTCCACATTGTTCTCCTAAATTGATCCCTTTCTGAGAGGTTGACAGTGGTAGCCAGGCACCATCTAGTCCTTCTGGTCTCAAGGTTATATAGTCTGAGGTTCACATTGTCCACTAGTCCTTTGGACTAACTGTTTCCATCTTGAACTGATATTTGCAAAATGGAAAAAATTGGTCTCTTTTGTAAAAATGTCTTAGAAATAGTGGATCTATCTGTACCTCTCTGCTTAAAGCCCAGCCTGGCACAATAACATTCTCGTGTCTTATAAAGTAACTGGAATGTTCCTGACCTTTCACACTCAGACACCTAGGGCTAGCCCATCACCAGTTCCTTTTCCTTTGGAAAGCTTTGGTGGCAATGTGTGCAACATTGGGATGAGGCTAGCCAGGTGGGCAGGGGGAGGCAGGGAGGCTTTGGGCGTTCTGAGAGCCAGCTAAAAGCCCTTAAGACAGGGTTATGGTTTTCAGTGTCAGAGGCTAAGTGGCCCCTTTCCTACTGCCTGCTGGTATGTAGGATCTTGAGTGTCCTAAACACAAGTATTTTTATTTTTTGCCCAGTTAACTGCGTACTGCCTCCAGCAGCTTGTGCCCTGAGGTTTAGCACGGTCTGCTAAATTTAGCTTTAAGCCCCCGCAGGTGAGACTGGAGGAGGGCTGCACTCACTGCCAATCTGTGAACAAAGTGTGAAGCTTACTTTTACTTTCAAGCAAAAAGGAGGAAAGGAATCCTCCATTCCTAACTCTGTAAGGGCAACAAGGGCAATCTCAGCCAAAGGGATTCTTGTACCTGTTAGAAGCTGGATTACATATTCCCTAAAATCTCTTCAGGCCATAAACCTGTGGTTCTTTCCTACTCCCCAAATGCTCCTTTGCTGGTAAGTGCCTGCTGGCTCAAGAGATTGGGAGTGGAGATGAGATGGGGTGGGAGGAAGCGCCATTCGACCAAAAGCTCCACCAATCTTCTCAGAAACATAAGATATAATAGCAGGAGAGAGGAATCAGAATAGGACAGAGGTTGCAAACTGGTGGCCTAGAGGTGAGTTTTGTTTAGCCTAAAAAATATTTTACATGAATTCAAACTCAAAGGAAATATTTAAATACTGTTGTTGTTGTTGTTATTTGCCCTTGAGTCGGACCCAACTCATAGTGACCCCTCCTTGGCGGTATCACTACGGAAATAGATTTCCCAACCTAGGGAAAGTTATTTAAAATCCAATCATAAAACTTTTGAAAAATCAAGACACAGAGTCAATTTCTCCACAGGAGTTAGACTTGAGACATATCTACTCTCTCTCAGAAGGGGCATGTGCCCTCCAGTTTGGGAATAATTTTCTGTCTTGCCACACTCCTTTATGTTATCTGTCTGGCCCTGCTGGGCATATGAGTCTGCAACCCATGTGAACCTTTAAACCTTCCCCATTTCAACATTGTCTTGCTCTCTGAATATAATATCCCCAAAGTCCTTACAGAGGTAGACCTTTTGATTTGTCCTTTTAAATGTCTTTTGAACTCCATCATCGAGTTCATTCCCCCTCTCAGGAAACAGGCCCAGAGAGGCAAAGGGTCTTCACCAGGGCCACACAGCTACTAAGTGACAAAGTAGGGACTAAAAGCATATCTTATAGCCTAGTCAATACCTTCCCCAACTGCATTATGTCCCCTAGTCCATTTGGAAGCAAAGTGGAAGATGAAGTGGAGGGAGCACGGGCAAGAATTGCCACAGGGACACAGATCTGCCTGCAGTGGGGATGCTTACTCTTCTTCAGGACTTGGCGGCACTCAGGTGTGATGGGTGGAGCATTGGACTTCGACAGGGCATTTGAGAGGACCTCAATGATGCAGCGAGTCACCTGAGGGAAAATCCAAAAGCAAGTTGGCAAAAGCTGGGGTCTCTGGCGGACTACTCAGCTCAGAACTGCTTTCGAGGGAGGCTTGACTATGTAACCTGAATTGATGCAGAATCCTTAGGGCAGGAATACAGATGTACATTACAACAATGAAGCATCCCAATACATGGAGACTGAAAGGGGAAGCCTCTACACAGAACAGAGCAAGAGGGCGTTGGTTTGAGGTTAGCCTGAGAAGGGAAATAAATACCCATTTAGGAACAGATTGGAAAAAAAAGATTACGATGACACAGCTGTACTCAAGGGCACTAAAACATCCAGGAGGGATGAAGGACCCAAGAGTAGGAAAGGCACTCCTCATCCCCACGCCCTCAGGGATGAACATGTGGTTTTGTAAGCCTATTGTTGTGAGTTGGCTTTTGTTTGGTTGGTTGGTTAGGGAGTGGAAGAATCTAGTGTTTAAATTCTAGACTTATATTTCAACTTACCATTTCTTCATTGTGGTCCCTGTTATCCACTGGGATAGAACTGACAGCTTTGAAAGAGAAAAAGAATTAGAAATGGCTTGAATTCACTTTTGAAAACAATGTGAACCAAAACTAGCAAAAACAATCTGCACATTACCTCGTACAAAGGGGCAGAATAGGAGCTCAATAGAGTAAATACATTCAGGGAAGTTTGCCCAGGGGTCAGGACATATTGGCTCTAACCAACTGGGCAGTGACTCAGAGAGAGTGGAGTGTGTGTGGAGTGGAGTAGAAAGGAAAATGGGGCTCCATGCTTATAAAAAACAATCAGCTCCCACACACAGGAACTTTGGGGTGATGGGAACGTTCTCCATCTTGACTGGGGTATGGGTTATATAGGTCAAAACTCATAGAATGCTACTCTCAAGATTGGTATATTTCACTGAATGTACATTGTACTTCAATTTAAAAGAATTCAGACTCCAACCACTTTTCAACATTCCAGTGGTCTCCGAGGAAAAGATCTAGACCATGCTCTCTCAGCTTCAACACATCCTTCTCTCTCCCCTCCAACTCTGGGATTAATTGTGTAATCAGTTTTATTTGGATGTGGATTAAATTTTACAGTTCTACAGGTATTACTAAGAATATATTTTAGGCATGTATCTCTATATATACATCCATCCATACTTACACAAATATAGTTTTCCCCTGGAATAGCATTATAACTACTTAAAAATCACCTGGCTGACATCTTTGGAGAAAGAAGACATTATCTTAAGAATTCTATTTTCAGATTCTTTCAGAAATTTAGTGATTAAATAAGTGAGTATTATAAAGATATGGTGTAGGTATTGTAAAACTTCAGGCAACTGAAGGTCTTAGATATTTTCTAAAGAGATGAATATTCTTCGTAAGCTACCTATCTGAAAAAAGAAAATGACATCATTCAGATTTATACCACAGGAACCTGCATGAAAGGCAACCACTAGGCAAAAATCACCTGGGGGTATCTGAAGCAAAATGAAGGAAATATCACATTTATTGGTAAATAGGAAAAACATTTAAATATTATCCAGCCCATTTGTGGTTGTGCTTCCAACATGGAACATTTTGGAAGTAATTTCTTACATGGAAGAGGAAACAGAATGGAACCTTCAGTCTTTCCATCTAGCTGTTTACAGGTGATTTGGGGTGACACCCTGTTACTTGTGGGGTTTGATCAGCAAAGAAGTTACTGGGATCACAAAGAGCTGTTCCATGTTTAATTCTATGGAAGAAGAAGAAGATGAAGAAAAAAAGTTGGATGCTCTACTTAATGATGTAAAGATTCTTTAAATGCAAATTTAAGTTCCAAATAGAGGATAACATGCTATATTAAGGGATATGAAAGTAGGCCAAAATGGGCTGAGGAAACAACCAAATGCTGCTGGAACTCCAAAAATAATCCAATGCTGAGGCTGTACATACGTCTATATATATCAGCGAAAAGTCAGGAAACCATTTGATTGCCCCGCTGCCTCAGTGTCAAATGCATGGATACGTGTGAATATGCATGTGTCCACAAACACACAGCTATTTTTCTCTAGCAATGTCTTTAAAATAATTTGAAAATTCATATACTCTCTTAAGTCCACTATAAATCATGTCCAGTCCACAGACAAGGAAGAAATCTGAGGTAGTGGTAACGTTCTGTTTCTTGACCTGGGTGCTGGTTACACAGGTGTGCTCAATTTATGAAAAATTCATCAAGCTATATACTTATGATCTATGCATACTTATGATCTATGCAGTTTCCTATATGTATATTATACTTCAATGAAAGTTTTTAAACAAACCAAGTCTAAATAGAACCAGGGTTCTCTCCCCATCCCTTCCCCCATGTTCACCCAAAATGAATACAGATCTGACTCCTCCACAAGAGAATATCCTCCCTCAAATCCACTTCCTCTGCAAAAACATGGTTCCGACTACCTTACATAATTACCTCCCTTTTTATCCTCAAGACTTTGCCTGGACAAACTTTTTTATGAATCTGTACCAATGTTCTATTTCCCTTCTCCCACGTTGTCTGAAACCATGTCAAGAACAAGGGAGGTATCTCATGCTCCTAGTGCAGCAGCAAGTCCATAAGACCATATGAAAATAGGCATTGAACAACTGGTTTATGATGATATACTTGAAAGGATAACTTTTAATTGATTTAAATTTCATGAGATTCTGCCAACTTTAGATGAACATTTGAAACACCTTTGTCTTCTTAGGAAATGCCTCAAGAGATTTTAATTTGCCAGTGCCATTTTTTTTTTCCTCTTTCAAAGCTTCTTTGATTCTTTTTCCATTTCTTCCTTATTCTGTGTAAGCCTTCTGCACTAGAAAAGCATAAAGTATTAACATGTAGGCCTATCCCCACCATTCTCCTGGAATTTCCTGATATGGACAACCATGGTTATGGCTGCAGAAGCCCAGGGCAGAAAAGAATTTTGGGTCCCTGAGACAAGAGAAGAGCTAGTTGGGGAAAGAACAAAGGCCTTGGATCTCAGAGATGGAAGCTACTCAAATTTAGTTTATTTATGACCTGCCACCTGAACTTTCCTCCCAGAATGCTTCTTTCCAAGCCTCTGCTTCCCACTCTTACTAATTAATTACATATTACAGGACCCACCCTAGAAATAAAACACCTACTCCATTCACTCACCTTAGTAAATTTTCCTTTTCAAAGCATGAGCTAGAATCTATTTCAATTGTTTACAGAGGCCCAGAGTTATCTGGCTTGTTAGAATCATTTGTAATGTTTGAGAAGTACCTAAAAGCTATGAAGGCCCTGGTGTTCTTTCTGAAATGCAGGTCATGCAAGATCCAGGTGATCCTCCTTTGCCACCCTGGGCGCAATATGCTGGGCTGTTATTTTATCTCCCTAAGTGGCTGTTATTTGGGAAAATTTCTACACTGGCACTTGCTCTTTCCTGTTGAAATCTGTAAAACCCTCTGGAAAGAAATAATTACGAGAAAATCATTCCCCTCATAAACAAGAAGGTATGCTTTTTAAAAAATCCAGCTTTACCAAACGTTACTTGGTAATGCAGTTCCATGCTAATGCTTTTCACTTCCTGCCACAAATGTGAAACAGCTATCACTTAGGTGTTTTTTTTAATTGATATTGACAAATTAGTAACCGTCGTCAGATTTGGGGGGAGAGAAATAGTTTTCTAACTACAATTTGTAGCTCATGTTTGTTATTATAGAACAGTTCTGTTTCTCTGATTGAGGCCCTTCACACTTTTTTTTTTTTGATGGGAAGACATTAGGCTCTGCTTGTGAAACCATATTATCCATCTTGTGAGACATCTAAGTGCCATTATATTGCTTCTAATAGAATCTGTGACAGCAAAGTAATAGCCAAAGGCATGTTGGTTACTGTTAGAGTAGTTGTTATTGTTGTTGTTATGTGCCGTCGAGTCAACTCATAGCGACCCCTCCTTGGGTTTCTGAGGCAATATCACTACAGAAGTAGATTGCCCCATCTTCCTTCCGAGGAGTAGCTGGTGGGTTTGAACCGCCAGCCTTCTGGTTAGCAGTCAAGTGCCTTAGGCACTATGCTACCAGAGCTCCCACTGTTAGAGTAGTTTACCATATATTGTAAACTATTAGAGTAGTATATATATATATAGTAAGATTCAGGGGGCACAAAAGAAAGTCTATGATTACTGTAAAAGTGAGGTACTCAGTAGAACAACTTGCAAGTAAAGCCTTATGATAAATCTGAGAATACCTTCTAAAGTATTAATAGCTCATAAACTATCAAGGTTTAATACCAGATTGAAAATATAGCTGCAAAATAATAACAAGTAAGCTCCTGTGAATGCAGAAACCATCGTATTTAGTTTAATGTAGAAAGCATGTGGTTACTTCACTCATCGTAATATTTGGAGGACACGACAGCTACCGTGGAAGGTTGTGGCTCTCCTTTCAGAAGCTCTTAAAGTAGGAAATGAACCAGATGGTTTCCTGAGGTTTATTTTAGTTCTGTGATTTTGTTAACTAACAAATTCTGCTTGAAGGGTATCGTGTCTCATTGCCAGGGGGCTAGGCAGAGAGAGGTGGATGGGAATGACAGCTAAGGGACAGGATATCTTTTGGGGATGATGAAAATGTTCTGAAATTTGATAGTGGTGATGGTTGCACAATCTATACTAAATACACTAAAAACCACTGAATTGTACATTTTAAAAGCGTGAATTTTATGGTATATGATTTTATCTAAATTTTTAAAAAAGAATATAATTCTCCATTTTAGCTGCTATTAAAATATGAAGCTTTATTAAAATTTAAGGAGCTCTGGTAGCATAGTGCCTAAGGCACTTGACTGCTATCCAGAAGGCTGGGGGTTCAAACCCACCAGCTACTCCTCGGAAGGAAGGTTGGGCAACCTACTTCCATAGTGATACTGCCTCAGCAACCCAAGGAGGGGTTGCTATGAGTCGGGTCTGTCTGACTCAACATTAAAATTTAAATAAAAGATCCATAAGTGTTTTGCCATCATAATTAAATAAGTCCCACAAATGTCACTGTCTTCCTGGTCTACAGCACATTGTATAGCATACCCGAAGTCTTGTAAGCAATTCTTTTCTGAAAAATGTTTTAACCACCAAGGACTCTTCATTATTCATTTGATTTTCTTTAATTAAAATAAGACAGTTTATAGGCAATTTGTAAGAATAATAAGAATTTTAGAAAATTCTGAGGTATGTAGCTTTTAAAAAATATCACTGGCTTTCATTTTATATCTTTATAATTTAAATCCAGTCTTTGCTGTCAATGAAAACTTCACATTCATGGATGACAATGCCTCAGTTCTAGTTAGAAATGTCAATTTCAGATGAGAATAATTTTCTATGAGGTCATAAAAACAGCCAAAGAAATCTTTATTCATTTTAACACACACACACACACACACACACACTTTTCAAATATCCAGAGATCATCTCTTTCAGATTGAGAGTAATTTTGAAAGACTAACTCCACAATCTTTCACACACAGAGAGTCAAATATTTATTTATCTGCCAAATTGACTAAAAATTTCTTTCTACTAGTCCACAGATACTTTTTGTGGTTATTTTATAGTTTAGTTATTTTCATGGAATATAAAAAGTAAAAATATCTAGTGCAGTTTCCATTCATAACTGAAAATGGATTCATTTGAGTTTGAAATTACCTTTCTTCAGAGATGGAAATACAAAACACAGAAAAGCAGTATATTAAACCTGTACACACAAACATATATTATATATGACCATGTTAATAAAAATTAAATGTCTTATATGCACCCTGGACTTACTTTGATCGCATCCTGTTTATATATAATAATAATAAAGAAATGATGCACATGCCAGCCTACTAATATTGTAAGTAGTCCTGTCTTTCCTTGGTCATCTTGCTTTATGCAGTCAAACAAATCCTCACAGATACAGAATCAGACTATAACGGTGTTCCTCTATACCCATAGAGAGAGTTTGACATCTTAGAAGTGAACACAAAATGTGGATTTTCCTTGGAGATGAGGGCACATTTTCTTCTTTTCTATAGGAAAATGCAGATAGGAAAAGTCTGAGATCCTCCTGCCTGGGCTAGGAAGCTCTCTGGCTTTTTCCGGGTCAGATAGTGGGGCGAGGGAGGGAGTTTAAGGGGAGCACCCAGGGAAAAGACAAAATGAAGAACCCGCAGCTAGAGGGAAACACTCTCTTCCGCCCAATCCTCCCTCTTTCCCCGTATCGGCCTGCAAAATGCCCGAAAGGAGGGGAAGGTGGAGGCCGACGCTGTCCGCGGTGCTGAACGGTCCGCCGCACCCACTCACCAGCCACTACCGCGGCTCCCAGGAGGCCGAGAAGCAACGCTGGCTGCATGGCCAGGCTCGCCTGCACCTGCGCGTAGAGAAGGTGACTGATGCACTGATGGGGCGAGGCGCAGAAGGAAGGCGAGCGAGAGATGATCCGTGTGTCTTGGTCTCCGCGGTGTGGCGCGGTTGGCGCAGACCCTGCTCTTTTAAAGGGCAGGCGGGGGCCGCAGGGCCTGCAGCCAGGAGGCGGCGGCCCCTTGCTCAGCACTCAGACGTCACGAGGAGGCCCCGGGGGCGGCGGCTCAAGAAGGCGGAAATTTACGCCAGTCCAGTCGCCTAGATGCGCCTGGCCTATAGCGGGGGTAGGTAGGAAGGCGGGCGAGGGAATGGGAAAGGTGAGGGGAGGTAGTGCAACTCCGGGCTGGGAGGACAGGCGCAGGAGTCCCGCTTGGCTTGCCCAAACTTACTCTGCATGCCCACCCCCCGCCCCCACGCCTCCAAACCAGAAACATGTGTTTGAGGCTACGTGCATACGTAAGTGGTTCTGGTGAAAGAGTGCCTGAATCTGTTTTGTATCTCCATTTCCCAGTGGAGGAAAAAACTATTGCTATGGTTGTTGTTGTTGCTATGGAGAGAGGATTAAATGGTTGGGATGGGTAAAACAGGAGTAATGATTTTAAAAATAAAAGGGGTAGCCAGATATTGTAGGACCTGCTATTCCTTCCAACATTTGATATTTATATTTATCTACCCATCCATGATTCTGTCTATTTATCTGTCTGTCGTGAATCTCTTTGAATACACAACATGTAAAAAACCAAACCCAATGCCATGGAGTTGATTCCGACTCATAGGGACCCCCATTGGGTTTCCAAGGTGGTAAATCTTTATGGAAGTAGATTGCCTCATCTTCTTTCCATGGAGTGGCTAGTGGGTTTGAACTATCAACCTTCTGGTTAGCAAATGCCTTAGGCACTGCACCACCAGAGCTCCTTACACAACATATACACGCGATTAAAAAATACGTATCAGGCCGTACAAAAGGATTTGCTATAAGAGCTCTGGTAGTGTGGTGCCTAAGGCACTTGACTGCTAACCAGGAGGCTGGTGGTTCAAACCCACCAGCCACTCCTCAGAAGGAAGGTTGGGCAATCTACTTCTGTAGAAGTAGGGGTCGCTATGAGTCGTATCCAACTCAAAGGCACATAACAACAACAACAACAACATAAAACTCTCCCTTCTACCTCTGTCTCTCCCTATTCTCCAATTCCTCTCTGCAGAGTTAACAAGACTTGACCACTCTCTGTTGCTTTGTCTTATTTTTGTGACATATATATCTGCACCTTCTTTTGAATGACTGCACTACATTACATTGAATGAGCACACCGGAATTTATTTAACCAATCCCCTTTCTGATAAATAATTAAGCTGTCACCCTTTGACCATTAGTTACTCCTTTGCAACAGAGCAATAGACCCAGAGGTGGTAATGGCGTTGGTGATCCTGATTTTTCTTGCACTACGTAAAATAGACATACTTATGGGAATGGAGTTCTGGTGGCATAGTGCCTAAGGCATTTGACTGTTAACCAGAAGTCTGGCGGTCCAAACCCACCAGCCACTCCTTGGAAGGAAGACTGGGCAATCTACTTCTGTAGAGATACCGCCTTGGAATCTCATAGCCACGGAGGAGTGGCTATGAGTCCGAATCAACTCTATGGCAGTGAGTTTGTTTGTTTGTTTTTGTTAGGAACTAGTACATCCTACAAACTCTGTGTATTGTCTTTTGCTTTAAAATTGAGATAGGAAAGTATTTTATTATTATGTGTTAAAGGAAGGAGAAAATTTTTCAGAATAGTCTTGACATGGATTCCCTCAGCCTAATGAGGAATAGAGTGAAAAGCAGCTGGCAAATGCTCTGCACAGAAGAGAAATAATCCAGAATCCCCTCTGATAACACAGAGAACAGAGTGAGTCTTCATTTGGGGTGTCTTTCAGGCAAGGAAGATGCTTGAATGCACAGCTCAAAGAGGTTTGATTTCTTTTTGCTGAAAATTAATGAGGCTCATTCTTTTTGCATGTGGTGAATAGATGGTAATGTCTTTCTGAAAAGGAATGGGAATTATTTTGCAAAGAACACAGCCACAGAATATTTAAAAGAATAGTGTTAAAAATTATATTAGTAGGAGAACTGGTAAAATTTGAGTAAGATCTGTAGATTGTGTAATTATATTATATCAATGTTAATTTCTTGATTTTGAGAATTATACTATGGTTATGTAAGAGAATGCCCTTGTTTTTAGGAAACACACCCTGAAGCTTCTAGAGGTAAAGTATTGTAAAAATGGTGTTGGGGAGGCATCTGACCTCCTCTAACTTCACAAGGGGGAGGAGGATCAAGATCAACATTAACAGCCCAAGGCTGATTCCTATGAGATGAAGGTCTGACATGCCTCCACCCTCCATTTTTTTTTCCCACCAATTCTGATACCATCCCTCCCTCCCACGGTGCTCTCTATTTCTTTGCTAGGTTCAATAATTTGTTGCAAAGGCCACACAGAACTCACAGACTACAGTCATGATTATGGGATTTATTAGGGAAGTCAAACAAAAAAACCTAACTCGCTTCCCTCAAGTCAGATCTGACACATACAGATCTGACACACAGCAACCCTTCCTTGGGTTTCCGAGGCAGTATCACTACAGAAGTAGATTGCCCAATCTTCCTTTTGATAGTAGGGAAGTAACGGTGTACAATTCAGGATCAGAAATGACTCAAGATAGAGTTCTTCAAACAGGACAGCCTCTTTTCAGCAGTGCTCACAGGCATGCCTCTCTCTGACCCTCAGCCTCTTGGCTCCTTGGCCTCTGCCCTGCTTGAGCAAGTGTACAAAACTCTTGTAGCTCTGTTGATAAATGCCTAGAGGCACCCCGCCCTGCCAGCAAGCCTCCTGTCCTAAGCACTTATCTTTCTCACTTTGTGAGTTCAGAACTCATTGAGCTGTCTGTCTCCTGCTAGATCTCCGGTTCTGTTGCTGCCATACCTCTGTGCTACTTCTTGCTGTCTCTTGAAACCTCAGCAAAGTGCTACAGCTCTGTCTTCTGGTTAGAGATGGTTCATTGCAGAGATGTGGGTCCAAAGGATGTGCTCCACTCCTGGCTCTTCTTTCTAAGTGGTAGTGAGATCCCTCTTTCCACCTCTGGGATGGCTCATTTTAAACCTAATGGGATGACAAAACTGACCAATCCCCATGTCAGAGTTCCATACAACTTATTTGCATGGTCCCACTCCCACAAGGGTGTCATGTACCTTATTTTTATTATTAGCAAGCTATCCAATCCCCTTGGTGGGCCATAAGCACCTCACATTCGCATAGTCCCAGCCAGTCATCTGGTGGAAGCCACAAAGACTAAGGCTGGAAGGGCCATATTAAATAATTCACTGCACTTCAAGTATCATATGTATAACTTTCAAATATTGCTGAAAAAATTATAAAGATAGGGAGAGAAAAAGAATACTCAAGCAAATGTGATAAAATGTTAACATTTGGGGAATTGAGGTGAAAAGCATATGGAAATGTTTATATCTTTTTACATTTTTCTGAAATCTGAAATTATTTTGAAGCACACAAAAATGAATGTTCTTGTCATAAAAGTCATGAAAAACTCTGTAAAGCAATGGGTTCAGAAAAGGGAGGGGTCGAGTATGGGCTCTTTCTCGGGTACAGATGCGTGGGAAGTTCTTCTACAGTTTAAACTGCATAAAAGCTCCAACTGCTCTTCACAATGCACTGATTGCCAATAGTTCTTCAAAAGCATCACCTTCTAGGAGCATCCACGTTCCTTTTTTCCACTGAGTTGCCTCTCGTCTTGTATCCTTTCAAATCATGGGGTGAAATAATGTTCATGTCATCTTGTGACTTCTCAGACTGGGCTAGAGCTAAGTTCACTACTCATCAAGACAAATTCTGCTGTAAGAAAAATCTTTTCAGTATTTTGAATTGAATTAAAAAAAAAAAGTCACCTTGGCCCATGTCTAATTCCCACATTCAGATTTACCTTTCTTTTACTGGTATTATTTTAGAAAAATTTTATTATTTCACCTTTTATATTTTAATCTTCATATGCCAGAAAGAAAAAAAAAAAAAAGGCACAGAGAGTAGCATTTCTCAGGAATTCTCTCAAAGCAAGGTAAAGAGGAGAAACCAGCTCCTTAGTAACCAGGGTTTAGAACGCACATGATATGAGAAGGGGGTATAGTCACATTTTCCCCATATCTCCACCCAATTGTTCTAGACATTTTTACTGAAGTGGCTATCCTTTTCCATCTGCAGTGTCACATTGGGAAAAAAAAATCTAGAGTCCATACACATACACACAGGTATATTTCCAAATGCTCGTTTCATTTCTTTATTCCATGTGTTTATATTTGGAGCAGTACCACACTTTCTCTACCATGAGGGCTTTTTAATAAGTCTTGATATCATGTGGAGAAGACTTTCTTACCACATTTTTCTTCAGGAGAATATTGGCCATTATTGTCCCTTTGCATTTCCATACATCTTTTAGAATGAGTTGCCTATTTCCATTGGAAAAAAAAAAAAAAATGTTAGGGTTCGAATAGGAGTTGCTTTGCATTGAATCTGTAGATCAATTGGGGATAGCTGACATCTTTACAATATTGGGAAGATTTAACTTTTTGATTGGTGATTATATTCTGGATGTAATGTCATTTCAAGATAATGGCTGTCTGTATTTGATTGAGCTTTGCTCCAGATTTCAGGCCATGTTGGGGCCTGTTACATATATATCTCATCCTCCTTGGGCCAATACAAAATACCAGGTGGAGGGGAGGGAAGCCATAGGAAGCCCATTTCTCAGGAACGCTTGCAAAGAATAATGAAGAAGGGCAAAAAACATCTCTTTTAGGAAACAGGGTTTATAGTAAACTATGGTTTTGTAGTGGTCCTGAAACAGGTTATCCATCAGGGTCTAGACATGAAAATGAAACCAGTACAGGGAATTTAATATAGGAGAGAAAACACAGGCATTAGGAAAGTTGAAAGAC